ATCAGAATATTTCAAGAGAGCGTAAAATAAATCAGTAACAGAAGTAATTCCTAAAACAAGAAGAGTAATTCAAAGAATGCAAAACATAAAAAGTCCAACATCTGTCGAATTGAAAGAATCCCCAATTTCCACCAGCAAAAAGAATTTTTTTTTATTAGAAAGGGAAAACCTAACGAACATTGAAATTGAAGGAAACCCATGAATTTTCATACAGTAAGATGATTATTCAGTTCCAAAAAATTACCGAGCTAAGACACTAACAACCAGAAAAAAAAAAAAGGGAAATAAGTGAAAACCCTAGATTTATGTTAGAACTGAATAAATCGAAGCAATCATATTAACAAAATTACCATTGTTTGATAGATTTCGTGCGTCGTTTGTAGGTGACAGTGATTTCTGGGTATTCTATTAATTCTTCAGAAACATCAAAAAATGAATTGGGGGAAAGCTTTGAAGAAGGTTTGAAGAATGCGCTGATCTTTGATTGCATCTCTCCTTCGATTCGCGATTTTGCTATCGTCCTTTGATTATCGATCGCCAGATCTGGGTGAAAAAATCACTGTCCTTTGATTAATAGAGTACCCCCAGAAATCACTGTATAAATCTTTCGGTTAGGGTTTCGGCCGGCGTTGGGATCTCTGCCCTAGCGAGGAAGTGCGGGAATTTCCCGACGGCGAAGACGACGGCGCAGGCGGCGGATTTGAGAATGGAAATGGAGGTGTTGGCTGGGGTGGGGTTGCTGGAGGCGGAAGCTCTGATGGCGAAGTTTTTCTTCAGAGTTTTGTGTGAGAATAGGAGGTGGGGAGATCGGAGAATGTGGGTTGAGGCGGAGCTGCGGTGGTAGAGCGGCGGCGGTGTGTGAGTGGTGGAAATCGATGAGTTGACTGAGAGTTGAGTTCATCTTTTTGGAGGGTTTTGTGAGATTTTTGGTTTAGGGATTTTTTCTGGGTAGGGGATATATTTTCACGACACGACCCAAGCCGACCCGACCCGACCCGACCCGGTAAATTAAATTGGGCTATTGATATTGGATCCGGATTGTACAAATATTCATCAAGAAGCCCAAGATTATTTTTAAAGGGAATATCCGTTTAAACTGGCCCGGCCCAAATATATAGGCCCATGATTGGGTATATTACTTTTTATTAATTTTATATGGTAAATTACAGTCAATCCCCTGATGTATGGTCAAATTATGATAAACCTCCTCATGTTTTGGTAATTACAATCACGTTTCTTAATTACGAATTTTCTTACACGTCCACACTTGTGGTATGATATTTAGTGGAATCTTCTAGATTATATGGAATATTCTCAACTTTGTACCTGTTTTATCTCATTTGAGCTCCACATTTTAAAGCAAGATGATCATATGATGTGTTTCTTGGCTTGTTAATATCAGATTGGGGTGTCTTAGAAACTGCATTTTTGGCACGAAACAAGTATAAACTAGAGAACATTTCACAGAATCAAGAAGATTCTGTTGAATTTGACACCATAAGAATAGATGTATAAAAAGATTCATAGTTGAAGGGTCAAACCTGATGGCATTTTTCGTAATTTGACATTATTTGGAGGCCTAATTTTATTCAATGAAAATACAAATATAATTTAATAAAAATAAATTACGGATACATAAATCAATTATGTATGCAGTAGTGGTGCATGCATGACACACGGACAAATATTAAATGAGTGCACGAGACAAGACACACCACCCCAATTATAGTACGGCGGGGCGTAGAGCCTAAATCGACGGCGTACGGCGGCGCCACCTCACATCGTCGGTTAGCACAGACATGGAAAAATCAGAATTGACAGCGTAGCCACCGTAGCCTCTGATCACAGTCCCTTACTTGTGAATTTTGCATTAATTATATTTTTAATTTAATTTTGTTCTTCGAAATTCGTGTATGAATTATTGCTGCTTTTTTTGCCTTCTAAAAGAAAAGAAAATACCCCCCACAGTCACAATAAAAGTAGTTGGTGTAAGACATACACTATTCTCAGGGACTTTTTGGTGATTACGAATAGACCGAGGTGGTTTTTGTAATTTAATATAAGTTTAGGGAGGTTTTCGTAATTTACCCTTTAATATTTTATTTCCAGGAAATAAGATGCTCTCTTAGGGCATCTCCAATGGAGTAAGCAAATCGGGTCTCCAAATTAGAATTTGGGTCTAATTTGGAGACCCGTATAGAGACTCGATGGAATTTTAGAGTCTCTAAAAAATAAAATCTTACAGTGGAGACTCTGGAGAGTTTTATAATTTTGATTTCATAAACAAAGTCCCATTAAATACACGTGAGTCTCCAAACAAAGTCCTATATTTAGGAACAAGTTTGGAGATTATGCAAAAATCTGAAAATTTAGAGTCCCACTAAATTTCTTGTTGGTGTTGAATTTTTTTCTAGAATTTATATATTTTAGAGCCTAAGGGAGTTTGCTTACTCCATTGGAGATGCCCTTACATCGCGACCATTGTTGGTAGTTTTCATAATGGACGGTTTTGCCCTCCATTTTCAGGGTTTGACTACAAGTCAACCTTTTTTTTTCATGTTTTTGTCTTTACCGGGGTTGTGGGGTGGGGGGGGGGGTGTTGGGGGGGGGTGTTGGGGGTGGTTCTGTTTCAAAGTAATTTTCCTTTGTGAGGGGGAGACCTATCTTTAGGGAATATAAACACTCAAACTTGACTAACAAGTAATGAATAATGATATCGATTTGGTATTGTTGTGAAATAATTCCCATAAGCTCTATATAGTATAAACACTAATGCTGTGAATATTATTAATTAATCAGTATTAGTTAGTTATCAATGTGTAACTAATATATATATATATGTATATACGGGTATGTATATGTATGTATATATATACATATATATATATATTAGTATATACGGATATGTATATATGTATATATACTAATTAATATAATATAATATCATTACAATATAATATAATATAAATGTGAGTGGGAAAGATAGAGAGAGTGTGTAAGGAGAGAGAGAGAAATGCTAGCCAAAAATTGTGTTTTATTAATTCACTTGTACATGTATTTATAGATACAAAGTGATAAGTCATCATTAACACTTGTCAACATTTCATCTAACATTGTTGGAAATGACTACACATATCCTAACACTTGTCAAAAGACTAATAACCCATTTGCTAAAGTCCACAATATTATAACAATCCCCCTTGGACGTAGCCCATTTGTATCGACTTTA